TCTATAAGACCATTTTTTTGTTTTCTTTTAAACCATTATTCCCACTTATCTAATTACCAGAAGGATGTAATAACGAAACGTGAAAAATCTACGAACAACTGAAAACTTTACCCAGCCATATCCTTCTGCTTCCACTTTACTCTGTATCTCAGTAGATAAACTGGTTGATAATTGGAATTTTAAAGTTGCACACATCATTGATTCCATTGCTCGAGTTACATATTTTCTGTACCCCTTTTCACAATTAACCAGGCATTTTACAAAAATGTTTGAATGTCGGACGGTGCTTTTGGCCTGGGGGGTCTGATGCTGTACCGCACCGACAGAAACAAAGATCTCTGAGTGAATGGAGGCTCCTCTGAGACTGTTCCCAAGCAATATTCAGCATCTAGAGGGGAAGAACAGCCCTCTGCAGGTGAAAATGAGGAGAGCACTCTAGAAACATCCCCAGCTGGCTGCTCCCGGCCCCCTCCGGCTTCCACACCTTCTCCAGCATCATCTGTTGCTGCTAAACCTGCGGATGGCACCACTGCTGCTTCAACCACGTCAGCCTCTTCAACCCAGGGGGCTACCACCCTCAGAGTATCGTCATCATTGTACTCTTCCTCCCCTGAGCCAGGAGAAGCGAGTGCTTCAGGAGCTGGAGGCAGTAGTAGCAACTCAACAACAACTGGTGCTTACCTTATCAAGGCTGCACATTAAAAAATTAAATTGTCTAGAGAGATGTTCTACAAGACAATAAAACTGTCTAAGTCATATAATCTGATTGAATTGTCTGTAAAGTGCCTTGAGATGGCATGTTGTTAATTGTTGATTTTGAATAAGTTATAAGAATCTTGATTAGTTTTACAAAAACATGAGTCAATACATTACTACAAAGGAAATTGGTAATGACAAATAAAAAAAAAATGTTTCTATTCATCCAGTTCAAATGCCTTTGGCTGATTTATAACTAATATGTAAATCATAGGTAGATGAGTGTTCAGTGAGTGTCCACAGAAGCTTCTTTTAAGACATAATATGTGTTCAATGTACCAAAGAAATCCAATCTCATCAGCTGACTAGGATTTGAATGTTTGCTTTGTTTGGAGAAATAACCAGAATCAAGCTTTGTTATTTTTGCATTGATACAATTCTAATAATTTCTTAATTTGATGAAGGTGTTCAGCAACATTTGTGCTTTGCTACAATTAAGCTGGTTAATATGAAATAGTTAAATGNTTCTGAGAAGCAATAAAAACAAAAGCTTTTCTTAAAACTCTGCCTGCTTTTACAAGACCTTTACACAATTATTTAAGGTATCATGACACACCTTCACAGATTTACCTAAAGCTTAACATTTGCATGTGGAAAGGGATTACGTTCTGGATTTGTAAGGAGACATCTTCATTACTGTCCACAAAAAGAGAGATTCACATCATCCCAGCAGGCAGCAAGTAAGTATTTCCTTTGAGTTTAACCTCATGCTTTTCGGATTGTGTAACGCACCCAGTAGTTTTCAGCACCTTGTGGAGCATATGTTTGGGGATTGCTGTTATCAGTCACTGCTGTTGTATTTAGATGATGTAATCATCTTTTTATCACCTGTTGAACAACACTGGGAAAGATTAGATCAGGTATTTTTCAGGCTAGAAGCCAAAGGGGCTAAAGGTCAAGTTGTCAAAATGTCATTTTTTTCAGAAGAAAGAAATATTTGGTCATGTAGTATTAGTATTAGTATTACCTACCCAGACAAAGTAGCACCCGTACGTGACTGGAGGCAGCCTAATACTCCGGCAGAACTTTGTTCATTTTGGGGTTTTTTTACCATCGAAGGTAATTTGGGGTTTTTCAAACATGGCTTCCCCTTTAAACCGTCTTGTTGCTAGGTTGCTTCCTCCTGGGAAAAAGGGCAAAACCCCTAAGGAGCCTTTGGGTTGCGTCTGGAAGGAGGAGTGTGAGCAGAGTTTTTNAACACCTCTTACTCTTCTCTGCTTTTGGATATGGGCCATCAGAAACTTTCGGTGGGCCATTTTCACCCATGTAGCCTACT